CAGACTTAACCGTAAATGTAGAGCCTCCAGTTACAAAGCTTGAAATACATGAACCTAAAAATGACAGAACTAAAAAGAACAATAGGAGAAGCAGGAAAATCTGTAACTGCGTTTGGATATTTCAACACTCTTCTTTCAGTATTTTATAGACAGGAAATCGGGAAGGGCATGAACATTATCAACCAAACTGACCTCCTCGATAATTAAAGTATTCTAAACCCAACAACAGCATCACATTCTTTCTCAGTGCATGGGAACACTGACTAATGTAGACAGATGGTGGCATAAAAGAAGTCTCAATATATTTAAAAGGACTGAAATTATAAAGAAGAGTACTGTGACTACAATGACAGTAAGTTAGAAATCTAAGAGAAATTTTTCTGTTAACTGGTAAATAACTAAATGCTTGAAAATTAAGCAATTCACTCCTAAATAAATAATCTAATAATTCTAATATAGGTAATATAACACATTTTTTAAAAAATATTTTATTTATATATATTTAGACACAGGAAGGGAGGGACAAAGAGATGGCAAGAAACACTGATCAGTTGCCTCTTGCACATCCCAAATGGGGACCTGGCCTGCAACCCAGGTATGCGCCCTGACTGGGAATCGAACCTTTTGGTTCACAGGCTGACAATCAACTGAGCCATACCAGCCAGAGCATAAATAACACATTTTTAAGTAAATAACCCATGAGTAAAAGAAAAATCACAAGGAAAGTTAGAAAATATTTTGAATTCAATGAATAGGAGAATGCAACATACTAAAAATTTGTGAGATAAAGCTCAAGTGCTTAGAAGAAAATTTACAGCTTCAGATGCTTACATTAAAAAAGATGAAGGTTTAAGTACAATGACCTAAGTATCCACCTTAAAAAGCTAGAAAAATAAGAACATTTTAAATCCAAAGTAAATAGATGGAAGAAATAATGAAGATAAAAGTAGAAATAAAAGAAATAGAACATGGACAAATAGATAGAGACATCAATGAAACCAAAGCTGTAGTGACAGAAAGCAGAAAAGTGGCTCCCTGGTGTAGGGACGGGGTTAACTACAGAGACTCCAGGGGACGCTGCGGAATGAAGCAAATGTTCTCTGTCTTGATGGATAAAATTGATTTGACAAGGTTACAAGAAGAAAGAAACAGGAACAGGGCACTTCTATCTGGCTCCACCTGGAGAAACAAAAGACAAGATAACATTGGCTCCTTAAAGGAGGCTTTTGATGTAGGTTGGAATCATGGTGACTGTGATCTTTTTTAACCTTTCTTGGTCCTAAACTTTTCTTTTCTTTTTTTAATAACAGACAACAGCCAAAGTAAATGATGTTAATGCCACCATGTAACCATCATCACAAATATTAATACCATCTATGTCTGAATTTAAGCCCTTGTCTGAAGATGTTTTGTCCCACCCTAAATTTGTTACAGTCTGCTCAGCCATAAGAACAAGGTTTTGATACACCTGCCTATTGCTAACTTCTGTGTTGACAGCATAGAAACATTGTGAAATCCACCCTGAGTTCTATTCATAGGTTACAAATGTTGAAGTGGCTTCATGTTGATTTCACTTCCCACTCTGTGCTTTCTTCCACTGGTTAACCACTTTTCATTTTCAAACAGACAGAGACCCTAGTTAACACCACCTCAGACCCCAGGCATCACAGACAGCAATCAGGTGTGTTAATCGGAAACATGAACATAATTAAAATTACCAAACCTCTTGCTCTGTAAAAGACTCAGAATTATTTATTTAATCTGCTCTCTAAGAAAGTAAGTTTTGGTTCTTTTTTCGTAACATCCTAAAAGGAAGATGACTTTGGTTCATTTCCAAATGAATTGAGTAGTTCAAAGAATTATCAGAGATGTGCACAAGATGTGTATAAAAGATGTTCTCAATGGCATAAAATAGGAAAAGTGTAAGAAATCGAAATATCCTAAAGAAGAGGGCTGATTTTTTTTTTTAATTTTTGTATGATGGGAGTCCTTTTTATTTTTTTACTTCATTTTTCAATTACTGTTGGCATACAATATTATCAGTTTCAGGTGTCCAACACAGTAATTAGTCATTCAGATACCCTATGACATGATCATCCTGATTAAGTCTAATACCCATCTGACACCATACAGTTATTACAATATTATTGACTGTATTTCCTATGCTGTACTTTACATCCCCATGATTTTTATTACTGGCAATTTGTACTTCTCGATTGTATGATGGGAGTCTTGCTTCTTTTTCCCACTTGTTAGCATATATTTCACTTGAAAGCTGTTTTCTATTTTTCTGATGTTATTAACACTTTTCTTACACCAATCAGCCATGATTTACTTGCCTTTTGTATCATTAATGGGCCAGTTTGGCCATTGGGAACATTCTCAGGTTAGCTCCTGTGTCCCTATGACAACCTCATCCTTGTTTTCTAGGCCTGACCTTGCTTTCTGCTCCAGGCTCATCTTGTATTTTCCCTGCCCAGCCTGGGAATCAAGTTATCTGAGAAGACTGGTTCCTCTTATAGGAGAGCGGTATTTAGAATCCATGATCTGGATCATTGCCGCTTCTTGACCTTCCCACTGGACAGTTAGGAGACAAGTGTGTGTCTAACCCAGATACACAGGTACATACACACACACTCACACACAGAGCTCCATTTATTTCTATCTATGTATCTATAAACATACACACACACAGTCTCCCAGGATTCATTCACACCTTCCCTTTTTCTTTACTTGTAACTTCTTCTGCAGTGAGAAATCTGCAAAATATCTACTTATTGGTAGAACACTGGTAGGCATAATTCCAGAATGGCTATCCATACCACCATGAAAACAAATTTACTAACTAGAGTACAGTGTCCATACAGCTTCTCTTTATTTTGGCCTCAGAGTACCCAGTCAAAACACAAAGTGACTATGGGCTGCTCCCTTCTTTCCATATCTTTCAATATGTTCATGTGGCCCATTCCTTATCTTTGTCACAAACTACATTCTATCTGGTGTTGGAGGAGGGCTCTATGGATACCCTGGACTGCCAGAAAAGCAAACAAGTGAGTCCTAGAGCAAACTAAGCCTCAGACAAAGCCGACGGCAAAAATGACAGAACTAAAGCTGTCCTACTTTGGACACATCATGAGAAAGTAGGGTTCTTTAGAAAAGACAATAGTCCTGGCTGGTGTGGCTCAGTAGAGTAAGCATTGACCTGTGGACTGAAAGGTTGCTGGTTCGATTCCCAGTCAGGGCACATGCCTGGGTTGCAGGTCAGACCCCCAGTTTGGGGTGTGTGAGAGGCAATTGATTGATGTTTCTCTCCCTCTTTTTCTCCCTCCTTTCCTCTCTCTCTAAATAAATAAAATATTTTTTTAAAGAAAGAAAAGGAAATAATGCTGGGAAAACCAGCAGGAAAAGAGTAAGACCAAATATGAAATGGATCAACTCCATAAAAAGAAGCCATAGGCATGAGTCTCCAGGAGCTAAGCAGGGCAGCTGAGGACAGGACATTGTGGACATCACTCGTTCACAGAGTCGCCAGAACTCAGAGCCGATTCAACAGCATGTAAGAACAACATCCTATCTTAGGTCCACCCCGAACCCCTACATCCTGGCTGAATGTTTTTCTAAGAATTAACATACAATAAAATTTAGTCTTTGCAGTATACGTTTCTCTAAGTTTGACAAATATTCAGAATCCCATATCCAACACCATAAGTCCTTACATCTCATTCACCCCAAAAACTTTCTTGTTGACCCTTGTAGCTAGGAATCTTGCTGACTCCTCACCCCAGCAAGCCCTGTAGTTTTGCCTTTTTTCAAAATGCCATATGCATGAAATTACACATGTACCTTTTGGGAGCTGGTTTTCCTTCACAAAATGCATTTAGGATTCATCCATATTGTTGCATAAATTAGTGCATTCTATTTTATTGTTGAGTATATTTCATTGTTTGGATATAACAGTTTATTTAGCCATTCACTAATCTACAGGTTTTTATATGAACATAAATTTTCATTTCTCTTGATTGAACATCAATTTTATTTTTAAAGTTGATTACAAAGATCATGTAAAAATATAAGCAAGAATAGTTAGAAAAACACTTAAAGAGAAAAGTGAGGGAGTTAGCCCTGCAGATAAAACATCTACAACTTTAAAAATGTAGTACTGGAACTCAATAGAAAGTCATACAATAAAGTCGAGTATGTCTCAAATTCAGTACAGGGTAAGGATAGAATCTCAAATCAGTGGGCAAAAGGTGAGCTTTCTAGCAAATAGTATTACGATAACCGGAGTACTATGTGGGAAACTACAATCCATTCTTTGGATTACTCAGAATAATGAATCACAGATACTATAAATGTAAAGAATAAAATTATAAATGTACTAGCAGAAAAAAACAGATGTACTTTTTATAATCTTAAACTAGGAAGAACTGTCCTACCTATGACTCAAAATCCAGAAGCCATCAGGGCAGAGTGATAAATTCAATCATGTTTAAAAAAAAATAAACTTTTGCGAAACAGTAACATACCATAAGCAAGTAAAATGACAAAATGATTTTAAAAATGATACTTACTTTAAAAATATTACAAGTATCTCTATAATCCAATAGAAAATTGAGCACAAAATGCAGGTTATTTGTTGAAAAAGTAATGCAAATAGCCCTCAAACACATGAAAAGAAGTTCACCCTCACTCATAAGGAAAATGAAAATGAAAACTACAGAGGTCTAATTTCTTACCTATCAGATTGGCGACAATCTGAAAATGTGACAACACTCAGGCCAAGGGAAAACACTGCACTCTGGTACGTGCATTGTTGGTGGAAGTGCAAGGGGGGACAACTCACATAGACAGAAATATCATGAGGTTCCATATACGTAAAAGGTCTGCACTGCCAAAGACAATACAATTTTCACTTCAAAATTATAATAACCACAAAGAATTTCACACATATAAACTACATAAAAATCCATAATACGTTTAAAAATACATTTTAAAAATGTTATGGTTCATTTTTTAAAAATATACTTCCTTTTTTTAGAGCAGTTTTAGGTTCACAGCAAAATTGAGATGGAAGTACAGAGTTCCCTATGCCCCCTGCCCCCACACACGCACAGCCAAGTTCACTATCAGCTTCTCCCACCAGAGTGGGACATTTGATGAACCTACATTGACACATCATCATCACTCAGAGTCCATAGTTTACATTAGGGTTCACTCTAGATGTTGTGGTTCACTTTTAGAAGTTGCTTGAGCACCATCAAATCATTCTCCTGAAAACATAAATAAAAGAATCATAATCAGATACTTAACCTGCCTTTCTAATGGATGGGGCCAGCGACATCATCTCTAAAGCGAGCCAACCAGATAATAAATACCCCCTGATGCAATGCAGTCAGAAATACACAGCACAGCCTTGAAGGCACCTATACATAACCCAAAAATCTTGCTGAAATACGGGTTCTGATTCAGTAGGGCCCGAGACTGAATTTCTAACAAGCCCCCAGGCAAAGCCATGCCCATGCTGCTGTCCCACACCTCACACTGAGCGGTGACAGGCTAGCACTACTAATGAAGTGAGCTACCTGAGGGAAGTGAGACTGATCTAATCCAGCCTCTTGATCAAACTACCAGTGTACCGGAGCCAAGAAAATGATAACCATTCAAGGGATCAATCAGGTTAGCCCAAAATGTAGGGTATCCTTTTGCACATGACTCAGTTTCCCCCCAAAATAAGTGGTATACAAAAGGTAGGAGGCGACTTGAGATGTATTATAAAAGGCAACGTACCAAACTTGCTGGATCTGACTTGAGTCAACTAACTATAAAAAGATGTTTTTGAGACAAGTGGGGAAATGTGAACATAGAGTAGAAACTAGTTACTAAAGAATTACTAAGTTTTGTTTTTATATTACATGAGATAATGGCATTGTTGTTATGTACAAAGAGTACATGAGCCCTGGCTGGTGTGGCTCGGTGGATTGTGTGTGACCTGGGAACTGAAAGGTCACCGGCTCGGTTCCCAGTCAGGGCACATGCCTGGGTTGCAGGCCAGGTCCCTAGAAAGGGGCCTGCGAGAGGTGACAAATTAATGTTTCCTCCCTCTCTTAAACAAAAAAGAAAGGAAGAGAGAAAAAAAGAGTACATGAAAAAACATGATGTCTGAGGTTTGTTTTATAGTATTCGAGCAAAACTATAAAACAAGTGAGGGAGAATAAATCATAATAAACAATGGGATTAATTTTATTATTCTACTTTATTTGCAATTTCCTTTAAAATATTTTTTTTACAAAAAAATACAGCTCTATTCAAAATCACTATTTTTGCCCAATTCTCAAGAAAAATTGTAACTCAGAGCAAAAAGGATGAAAAAAGGCACAAACTGCTTACTACCCTGCTCATCTCAATTTTACCTTGTATCAACCATTACTTTATTCAATTCAAATACTGGTCTTACACATAAGTTACCACACCGTTGTAGCGGTACAAGCCTTCAGCTTTGGAGCTTAACAGTTATTTCAGACACAAAAAGGCCCTTGCTTTTAAATTGTAAACTTGTTACTGTTCGTATTACCAAAGCAATGTCTAAGTTTTAGTACTCAACTCTGAGTAACTCCAAAACAAATCTCTCCATTGCATGCTGCCCTCATTGATTAACAGGCAAAAAAATAAAAATTTAAAAGAAAGGTCTTTGCTCTCCAAAAGAAGTCAGAAGATATGGAGTCATTCCTTTTGTTTGGTTTTCCATGTCTTCTGTTCATTCAATGAGCAATAGATCAGACTTGGCCCCTAACAAGGATTCAAGAACAAAAAAACCACAAACAAACAATAAAAATCCACCATATTACTTTATCACACTCTATAAAAACGTTGTATCACTGAATGTGTGCTTTTATTTTCAGTCTTTCATTTTCCATTTTTATACCCTGTTCTACTGCTGACACAAACTACTTTTAGTCTTTAATGAGGTTATATTAAAAGAAGATGATTACAAAGCATGTCCTGGGCAAGGAGTCTAGGTTGTACGAAATAGATGTGGACATTGACTGATCTAAGCAGAATAAAGTGCTGAAAAGATTTTAAGTAGCTCACAGAACTTCCAAAAAGGATGTAGAACAATGTCAGGGGAACAGCAAGTAAAAGTGAGCAGCAAGCACCACAGACAGACACGCACTGCAAACCCAAACCGCTGCTGACCCAGGGAGCTCCAGCACTTTCCCACGGCTTCCCGAGGGTCCACTTCGCCAAGGCTGCAGCTGCTCTCACCACCAGCAGATTCTCGAGGGCACACCAGTAGCCTCTTGGCAATCACTGGCTCCTGATTCTGTCTCACAGGCTGAACTCTGGCCAAGTTGAGATCTTAGCTGCTAGGAAGACTGGGAAAGTGATCATCTGGGTTGGGCTTGGGTTTTTTTTCAGTTTCTACCAGGGGCTCTGCCTACCACCCATATTCACAAAGGGAGGAATTCTCCCAACAAAGGAAGAACTTCAGGCAGAAACACAATTAAGAGATCTTTTTGTTCCTATACTCAAGATTACTTGGTAGTTTGTCCTAAGACTACTTAGGATTTCTTCAATTACGCCTGAACTTAAAACTCTACTTCATAGGAACTACCCAGGCTCAAATAACATTTTCACGTATTGGACCAATACCATATGCTAACAAATTATTGTCTGTAAATTATTTAACAGTGAAAGTATAAACAGACCCCACATTCAATTATTTTCTCTTTTCCACAGTGTTCCTCTATTGGTTAGCACTTCACCTAAGCGAAAGTCTTGCTGTTTAAACTCTTGCCCCATCTGGAACAAACAAAAAAATCCAAAAAGTCCTTGAAAAGCCTAAATCAGATCACCAAATCGACTCCTCTAAGAGTAGATTTCTGCCCAACAACAGAACAAAACCCAACAAGTCTTGGGTCTCTCTCAGAACCCATTTGCTCCCATTTTCCTTGCAGTACTATTCAACTTCATGACCTTTTCCAGCTGATTATATGTTAGAAGCTGGAGGGGAAAAGAAGGGAAACTGGATAGAAGAAATGACAACAGGAAGAAGACAAAGTCTACAAAAGGCAAATAAATGTAAGGACTAAGAAAAAAGCGATAACATTCAGTAGAGTATAGTAGAGACAGATAGTAATCAACAAGTCTGAATGAAGTGGCTCAAGGCACACTTCCCAGAAAGAGGGATTTGAAGTCTCAGTGAAGCAGAAAAACAGCAGGGCAGGATCAGGAAGGAGGAGGCGAGAGGTAGGCATCTCTCTAAAGGATGGCAGCGAACAAGGTAAAGGGCGACTGGGACCAGAGCGCCAGCCAGCAGTGGGAGAAGAGAGAAAAAAACAAAGCGCCTCAAGGCAAACCAAAGAAAGTGACCTTGCTCTCGGGAAACGGGGAGTAAGAGGGGTACTTTAGGAAGGTTCTAGAAACAGAGAGAGCGATTTCCGTTTCTGTGGATCGTATGGATTATATGAAACGGACGAGTGTTTCTTAACTTTCTTGATAAATGCCACCCCCATCCCTACGGAACCTTTAGAATGGTGCGACAGCTGGGAATCACTGTAACCTCTCAGTGTCGTCCAACTAGGATTTGTTTAGCTTTAAATTCTGTACTTAGTGTTGTTTTTAAAAATATTTGTTTTGAAACACGAATTGTAATATTCAATAGCGTGTTCAAACATCTCACCTCCTAATTAAGCTTCACTTCCATCCTCCTTTAGAATAGTGGCGTAGAGGCGCCCCAAAATTAAAAAGGCCAGGATTTCAATTACTATCTAATCCCACAAAAAAAGGTTCCCGTGGAAATACTCCTCTCGGGTGGGACTAGTCATCTCCCGACCGTCAAGGATGCCCCATGACATTCACGTATTACTAAGAGTGAGTTATCTCCACCGCGCCGCCGCCTCAGTCCGCGGTCCTCCGACGACAAGCCGCACTTCTGTGGGTTCAAACTCTTCTTAACCTTTGGAGGCAGCCCAACTGGCTGCTAAGAGACCCCATCGCTCATGTACCCGGAAGGACGAATCCCATTCGCCTGAGCACCGGCCGCACGGCCCCGCCTCCTGATTCCTCAGCGGTAGGCTTCTCCGGTTCCACCTCCCCTACCCCGAGCCACCGCCCACTTTCCGCCTCTGGCCGCGATTTACAAGGTCAGGCTTGTTGGAGCCGGGTCGGAGTCACGTGGCACCACGGTCACATGCCTGGTGAGGTCACGCGCCCGATCCTAGATCCAGCACGAAGCGAGCGCTGGGCGCGGGGAGGACACCGCATTTGAGAGAGGAAGGCCGACTGCAACGCGCACTCTCGCGAGATCTGTGAGATCACGTGACGGCGTGGGTGCGGCGCGGCTTCACGTGACGGGCGCAGCGGGCCGCTGGGGTCTCTTTCCTGCAGCGGGCGCCACAGTGACTGGGCCTCTTGACCGCGGGACCTGCTGCCCTCCCACCGGCCCCCAGCCCGGCCCCCAGTCCGTCCCCCAGCGCACGCCGTCCGGCAGGCCAACCACCCGATCTCGCCCGGTCCCCGCTCCGGTGGCCCTGGTGCCCATGGCGGCCCTCGGTGGCGCCTGGCGGCAGCCGCTGCTCCTACTGTTATTCGGTGAGCGTCAGGCTTGGAGCAGGGGTCTGCAGGGAGGGGAGGGGCTTCAAGTGGTCTAGGGGCTGCGCTGCGGGCCTCGGTAGTTTGGGAGATCTGCGGGGCGGTTGTTTTCGGGGAGTGGAGAGGACTGCTTGAGGTCCGGGGGATACAGGGTCCGAGAGGTGCGGGCTGGGCTTGGGGACGGCAGGTCTGCGAGTTGTCCCCGCACACGCCAAGGTCCGCGTGGGGTATGATTGGAGCCCGCTGGCCGCTGATTGGGGTATCGAACCCAGTTGCCCAGAAAGGGGGGAGAGAGGATTGAGATTCCCAGCCGAGGGTCCCGTTCTGTCCTCGGGCCACTAAAAGGGCCAGTAAACACGTTTTCTGGTGTGTTAAGTTGAAAATGACTTGGGTGACTTGGTGGTTTCTGGAAGATGTGCTTTGTTTCTTTAACTTACGGGCAAGTTTAGCCACGGACGTCCAGGTGAGGCTGTGCAGCCTGAGACGCCAGGGCCTTCGCGGTCCTGCGGTGCTCCCAGCGGACGACCCACCTGGTGCTTCTTTCTGCGTGGATCTTTACCAGGAGGGAATAGGCCGGCGTGGTGATCCTAGCCTTTTAGAGTTCGTCCTTGGTACTTTAACCTTCGTCTGTTTCTCAGTTTGACCTACAGTGTTTGTTTGTGTGTGTCTGTCACTGTCAATTTAAATTTGTGTTGGAATGACCTAAAGTTATCTTTAGGAGTTTAGGAGGGCCTACAATGGACAAAATGAGAGGTGGGAGTGCCCTAGTGGACAAAATGAGATGTAAGACCAGGCCTGGTCTCTCAATGGCAGTGTGCGTTCCTAGTGAATCCTTGGGAAGAGCTGCTGCCACTGTTCTGTTTGTACTGGTTCCTGTGAGTCAAAATGAGGGACTCCATTAACACGTTGGGAAGCGTCTGGCACTCCACCAGTCCGTCGAATTCATAGAAGCTGTCAGTGAGTGTTCAGTATTTTATTGAATGAGGGATTTTGTTTCACTTGACTCTCTTAATAAGAAAGCGGAATATGGGCTGTCTCTTAAACGGGAATCACTACATAGTTTGACTGTAAGTCTATTTGGAGGCATTCTGTAAGTCTCATCCTACTCCAGAGTTCTTTTTTTGTGACTGAATGGGTTTTGGTTTCACAGTTTTGTTTTGCCTGTTGTGTAAATTAGTTCTTTGAGTTGCAAGAGTAGCCACAAGGGATGACCTTATTCTCGCAGTAAACCTGAAGCCTTGCCCTTTACTGGCTGGTGTAATTAGTTGCAAGAGGAGTTGCTGGAACAAGTTTTGTCCTGTCGGATCGGCTGCATGTTCTTCATTAAAACAGCTCACAAGCATTAGGACTTGAATATTTTGTTTCATGTTCTAAAAACTCACCTTAAAAATGATGAGAAAACTTCCTAACTTCCCTACATTATAATAGTTTGCAGTATTGGACATGTAATTATCTGTTTAGTGCCCATTGCATCATATCTTTTAAGTTTTATAGTCAATTAAAATACAACTTTTAGAAAAGATCTGTTACCTTGAATTTGGGTCCATTTAAAATGTTTATTTTAGTCCACAATTTCACAAAAAACAGCTTTTCTAAAAAATACAACAAACTTATAAATTACTAATTTCTCCTACATTAATGATTAGAAACTACTTACACCTTCTTATGTGTTTGAATACTTGGTAGAAAGCATAGATAAGCATGATCTGAAACTTTTTGATCTTGGTATATAAGATCAAATGTGATAACAGAATGGTGACTCTTTAAAACCAACGAAGTCAACTAGATAGCTTCCTGTTTCCAAAGGAAGAACTCTCACTTAGGAAGTTTTATGCTAATACTAATCTTAGGATTGCTTGTGGGAGTTTGTCAGTTACCCCAGGTTTGCAACCAAATTCTTCTGTAGATTTGAGGTCAAAATGTTTTGGGTCCATAATTTTGAATTTATATTGTTATTTTTATCTCAGACATTATTTCTCCCTCTGGGTCCACAGAACTTGATTACATACTATAGTAGCATATGCTTATACTAGAGCATCAATTCAGCTGAGTTGGGATAATTTTTGCACATTTATTTCCTTTCCCCATATTACAGCCTATGTCGTGCCTCATGCCTAGTAAGTGCCCGATACATGCATGCAGAGATGTCCAGCTTTACAGTAGTGATCCCTGACTAAACGTGCATTAGGTCAGCATTTTGGGAATGTACCTACTTATATCCTGCCTCTAGAGGTTGTGGTTCATTTCAGAAGCGAATGTTTCAAAATTTGAAGCATATCTGCTCGCTCACCAAGTGCTGGAGAGAAGGCAGGGTTTTGCCGTGCCACTCACCCTGCTGCCAGCCCATGCGAGCATGGGAGGGACACGCTCTGAGTCAGCAAACCCGGCTCTATACCGCTCACTAGCTGTGTGACCTTGCGCGAGTAAGTTAACATCTCTTGGCCTTAGTGTGTCTCTGTATCTGTAAAGGAGAATCATAATAGTGTCTACCAGTTAAGATTGTCAGGATAATTTAATTAACTGCAGAGTGCTTGGAGCTGTACCTGGCACATAGCAAGATCATTACAGGTGCTTGCTAAATAAAATACTTACTTGACATTTTGTGTTAGATACTGAGGATTCAGTGATGAACTTGATAGGTGAGGTCAGTGTGGCACTGAATGTTTAAATAATAACAGTTAAAATTATAATCAACACTAATGCCCTGTACTGAATTTCCCACACACAATTGGCTTGTCTGATGCTCTAATGACACTGAAGTGTCAGCGCTCTTTCTTCCATTTCACAGGTGCCTAAACTGAGGGTTTGGTAGTTGCTACTGGCCCAAACTCATGCACCTAGTAAGTAGTAGGGGAGTATGTCATAGAACCAAGATCTCTCATTTTTATGGCAGTCATGTTTCCCATAGCTGCACTTATTTTAGAGAATGGAATTTCTGCAAGTAGGAGTATTTTAAAGGAATAAGTCAAAGTTACTCCTTTTTATGACTGCTGGAGAAGTAGGGGTCGCATCTGAGTGAAGAGCTGCTAGAGATTAGCAGTTGCCAGCAGGTCAGGAAGCCAGCTTTGAGAGGGACACCCTGCAAACAACTGCAGACATTTAAACTAACTTGAGATTGGTCTCCCCCCCCCCCCCGACACACACACCAACTGCCACTATTACAGATTTTTAAAAAAAAATAAATTTCTGATCATTAACATATAGAATCTCTCAGAATTTTATGTTTTAATGCTCTTATAGACATTTTTCTCTTGACCAAAATTGGCTTGTGGGGTAAGTTTCTTGTTTTAATAACTGAACATTTCTTGGTCTGTCTAGAATAAATGTGGGCATCTAATGCTGCTAAAGCTTATTTTGTTTTAGTAATACTTTTGTTTTTCTTTGAAAGCTCAGACCCTCAACATATGTTACTAAATGAAAAAAATTATATGAAAGTTACTTAATGTGGAATGTTTCCTAATGAAGGGCTTTCAGTCAGTAGAAAGTTTTTTAATGATTCAAAGAACTGTTTCGTCAAAGGGAAGCTTGGTAAGAACTGACCCATGTGTGCTCCCGTGGGAGGCAGTGACCTGCTGTACCCGTGTGACTGACCCTCCAGCTGAGGTGCCATGGCCAGGTGAGGGCATCTCAGGCCTGAGGGAGCCTGTTCCCAGGGCAGGCAGTGGCCCACGTACCCAGAGAGTTGGGTCAGTGTCCAGTGTCTCTGGCCTCGGGGCCTGTGCTTTGACACATGCTTTTGCCTTCTGCCTGCCTGCCCCGCTTTTCCCTCTGGTACACTGAGCCATCCTTTCAGACAGCATGCATTTTAAAAACCTTTACTGTGTCAGAAACAAGTTACAGAATAATTTTCTCTAGGTGTTTTTAGTGAAATATTTAGTTTATAGAAAATGCTTTTAGTGTAATCTTGCCCAAGTATTCCAAGAGTGGGTTAAATTTTTTACAAATCAAAACAGACAAAAAATAGCTTAGATTCTCTTGTTTGCCGTAATTGGCTTCATTTTAGTGTAGCAACTTTTCCTTATACACATAAATTTTGATACTACCTTTACCAGAGGCTTATGGGACGGTATGTGAGGTTTCTGGCTGTACTCTTTGCTTTAGGCTTGAGTTGTTGGCTGTAAAGATTTTCTTCTGTGAAAGTCCCAAGGAGACTAAATGTCTCCTTAGTAGACATTTATTAAAATGTCTCTTAGTAGTTTTGACATAATAGTGGTAGACACTGTTATGATTCTCCTTTACAGATACAGAGACAGACTAAGGCAGAGCGATGTTAACTTACTCGCGCAAGGTCACACAGCTAAAAATGAATTGGTTTCATTGGAGACATTTACTTTGCCAGGGACAAGGGTTTTAGAATGAAAAGTTAATTGAGTCTTCTCTGAGTATGCTGTCTTCAGAGTGTGCCCGGGTCTTATTTACACTTAGAGTGATCAGAGCCAGATGTGGAAATGCTTGCTTGGTCAAGGGCGTGCAGGAGCTTGTAGCAGCAGGGAAGCTGGGGAAGGACACATCACTTCTGAACATATGCTGTACACTTCTCTACCGTAGAGATCAGCTTACATTGGCTCCCAAACTGCTTCATATCAGGGTGGTGGGATATGAAGAAGCCAGAGATGGCACGGGCCCTGAGACCTTAAAGAGGAAATACTTAGCAGTGGCAACTCTCAAACTAAAAGGACCTGTGAGGGTTTCACTCTGTCCTGTGCCCCTGGCCTATGGAGGCCCTACCTGGACAGATTGACTGACGTGCTGAGGTCACACAGCCAAATCCAGGTTTAACTGAATTACTGTTTTTTGAGGACCTTTTTGAAGTTGGACAAAAAATCTTAGGTCTTTGAACCCATGACTTCTTGCCACACCAGCAGTCCATGAGTGGTAGAAACAAATCTAACTTGAAATTGCAGTTTAGGTCTACAGTGAAAGATACGATGAATTTCTGGAGGTCAATGTTGAGGTTGAGTTGTGCCTCTAGGACCCCATGGAATCCCCTGAGGAAGGAGTGTGGAGCACCTATGCCCTAGGGTGACCCAGAAATTAATATGTGACTTCCTGATAAGTATTCTGAAGTAAAATCCATTATTGCTATAGTTGAAGACAACAGAAATACCCAAAGTATTTTCAAAAAGCTATTTGGTAATTTTTGTCTTTTCTGGAGTTAGCAGGCCTCGCGCATGGTGCATCAGCAGTGTTTGTGGTGAGAGATGACAGCGGGACAGCTTGTATAATGGCCAACTTCTCTGCTGACTTCTTGACTAATTATGACACCAAGAGTGGTCCTAAGGTAGGAAACCTTCCAGTGAGCATGTGTGTGCAGATGTCTGTGTTCACACACATGAGAGAGAGGATTGTTTAAAATTTTCAAGTAAATGTTTGAAAAATTATCCGACCTTAACGCAATTCTCTTTATATGCATAGCACCTTCTCGGTTCATTAGTATTCTGTGCTGTTTTATATACTGAAGTTGCAGTCATAATTTACAAACCATTTTGTGCTCTGCCTTCACTTTTACTATGATCATTTTTTTCAGTTTTCTTTATGATTATTTTTTGTAATACTTCATTATGTTAATCTTCCTAATTTGTTAAACCATCCCTCTATTAGTAAAGTGTTTTTATATTCTTTTTCATGCTCAGTGTATAGCTCTGTGAATACAGTTTTGTTGATCTGTTAAATTTGCTTTACACAAACTGTTACGCTCCAAGAATTGTGTATAAATAGTTGGTGTGCAATGCTGTAAGCACTGTACTAGTTTGATTAAAATGTCTCTTAGTGGTTTTGTTAAAACAGCTCTGTACTTTTATGGGATGAATAAGGCTTTTGCAGTTCCTAGATTTTTTTTTTTTTTTTAAGATTGTATTTATATTTAGAGAGTGGGGAAGGAAAAGAAAGGAAGATTGATGTGAGGGAAACATCGATCAGTTGCCTCTTACACATTCCCAACCGTGGACCTGGCACGCAACTCAAGCATGCGCCCTGACTAGGAATCGAACTGGCAGCCTTTCAGTTCGCAGGCCAGCATTCAGCCCACTGAGCCACACCCACCAGGGCATGTTTCCTAGATTTTTAACAAATAAGCAGCATTTGTTTGTATTTGGCTTTTTTTTCCATCAGTTAGCTATTTTATTTAACATGTATTCTTTTAACTGTATCTCTAATTCAAGTTTTATTTTCATTTTCTTTTGGAAACCAGCATTTTTCTTTATCTGTATTTCGATAGCACCATATCTTTTTACTCCCACTCAGAGGGCAATAGTGGGGCCCAGGATTGCTGGGAAGATCAGCAGTTTTTTAGAGCACTCTGGACTTTGTGCCAGCTGCTTGGCCTCGTTAATTCATTTGTACTGGTTTGGGTACAAATGTGGTCTCTGTCAAAATAGAAGAAAACTGGGAAGGTTTTGTTTTCTAGAAATGTCTCAAATTCTAAAGGCTTGTTCAGACACCTTTTATTTTCATTTCTATTCACTTTTTTTGTGCTTGGATTTTTAAAATATTGATTTGTTATATCTTGTTACACAAATGGGATCATCCGTGTGCCGTTATGTGTCTTAATATTTCACAGAGCATGTCTTTCTCACCTCACGTAGTGTTGTCTTTTTCTTAGGACAACATTAGTACACTGCTTAACCATCGTTCTTTAGTCAGTCCTGTTAATTTTGATGGACATTAGGTTGTTTTCTAGTTGTTTCTTTTGCATGTAATAGTAAATTTAAACAGTTTTGTGTAAACACCTTTTCTTTGTTTGATGAGACATTCTTTAGCCCTGGCTGGTGTGGCTCAGTTGATTGAGTGCCAAGCTGTGGACCAAACGATAGCTGGCTGATTCCCAGCCAGGGCCCCTGCCTGGGTTGCGGGCCAGGTCCCTATTTGGGGGCGTGCGAGAGACAGCCAATCGATGTTTCAAACGCTCCCTCTCTTTTCTCCCTCCTTTCCCCTCTCTCTAAAAATAAATAAATGAAATCTTAGAGACGTAAGTCTTTGAACAAATAGTTCTATAGCAAACAAGTTGTAATAGCCTTTTCAAATAAAAATACGCACATTATCCTAATTCCAGTATGAATTATTTGAGTTTACCAAGATAACTGCAGTTTTAATTGTTCTGTTGCAAATTAAAATTATATTAATGAAGAAGAATTTGTAATTATATGAAAAATTCAGTTAATTTTGTTTTACACTTGAATTACTCTTCTATTACTGACATGTAATGCTCACTTTCTTTGTGTTTTTTGTTTGTATTAAAAGTACCTTAACAGTGACATCTGAGATGGAACTGAGGAACTAAGTTTATGTCAGGCTTACAAAAGATCTTTAGTGTTTCTGAATTCCTTTACAACCTACATTCTAATTGGGTTCTATTGCCATTGTGTTTGTTCTAGAATGCGACCTTCAGCCTGCCACTTAATGCAAAAGTATTAAATAGCAGCTCCTGTGGTAAAGAGAATGCTTCTAACCCCAGTCTCATGATTGCTTTTGGAAAAGGACATAAACTGACCCTCAGTTTCACAAGAAATGCAACACGTTACAGTGTCCAAATGATGAGTTTTGTTTATAACTTGTCAGACACAGAAATTTTCCCCAATGCAAGCTCTAAGGGTAAGAACAAAAATTGACCAGTTATGAAGAAAATTGGGTTGGGGTTGTCTGGAATTACTTTTAACTAAGTACTTCTGGGTATTTAAATTTCAATTCTTTTTAAATATAGACATCAAGACGGCAGACTCCATGACTGACATCATGGCAGACATAAATAAAAAATACATATGTGTGAGCAGCAACCAGATCCACATGAATAATGTTACTGTCACGTTCAGTAACACCATTATCCAGGCATACCTTTCAAACGACAGCTTCAGCAAAGAAGGTAAGACACTGCCCTTGGTCCTGATGCCGTTAGTCTGACTCTGCTGAATGCAGAAGCAGCTTTGTGCCCTCGTGCCTGAGGGAGTTGTGTATGGACGAGCATCTGTATAGCCGGGGACAGAGCAGGCGAGCATCTGTGTTAGGAAAGCTGTCCACCAAATCATTTCTTTTCTCTTTAAAGATGACCTCTTTAAATTAGGATGGGAAAATAATTGATCAAAAAAAGGTAAAAAAGGAAAGCAATTGAAACTTTCTCTGGGTCTTCCTTTGTTAGAGCTAACAGTGTCCAGGTTCACAGGATCTCTTCCGATTCAAGCCAGTGTCTTTCCAAAGAGACCGAGTCTTACTTCGGTCCAGCTCAGGTAGACCCAGGGGCAGGTGGTGGAAGGACCAGGAGTGCCTTTCTGGCGATCATGGCACCACCCTCCCACCCCGCAGGCGCACTTGCCTGTGCAGGTCCATGGTTTTGACTAAGGCAGTCAACCTCCCATTTCCTTCATTTGTAAAATAAGGATAATAACCTGTCTTAGAAGGGTGTTAGGATTAAAAAGGAAATTTATGCAAAGTGCTTATTTCAGTGCCTGGTACAGAGTAACTGATAAATAGGGCTGTCATTTTACTATGACATTAGCAAATTCTGTTCCCCAAATTCCCTCAGTCAACTCACACTATTTGTCATTTTCCTGAGGGTTAAGGAGTTGATTGCCTTGGGGAAGTTGTCTCCACCTGCTGGAGGGTATATTAAGGACAGCATCTTCTAGTCTTTCTATTGAATTTATTGGGGTGACACTGGGTAATAAAATTACATAGGTTTCAGGTGTAAATTCTACAGTACATCGTGTGTATTGTATCGTGTGTTCACCACCCGAGTCAAGTCTCCTGCCATCACCATTTATTCCCCTGTACCCTCTTCTCCCTCCCCACCACCTCCCCTTTCCTGCTGGTAATAATCATACTGTTGTCTGTGAGGTTTGTTTTGTTTTTTGCTTAGTCCCTTACCTTTTTTACCCCACCCCCCCCAACCTCCTAGTCTTTACACTTGCCGCTACCAATGGGCTTTTGATGAGCATTGTTCCCGGGCGGTCTTGCCTGAAGGCTCAGAGTGACTGCTGGAAAGTCGCTCATGCGGCCATCCCCAGAGCCAGTCCCAGAGCCAGTCGGCAGGACGAACCTGTCAGCCCTCTGTGCCGCCTGTGACAGCCCTCAGAGATGTGGGTGCTCCAGCAGGGCTGGCAGAGTGGCCTGGTCCATCCTGCCTCTGGTTTCTGTGCAGCCAGTAGACTAAGAATGGCTTTTTATGCTTATAAATTGAAGGTTTAAAAAAACGCAGGGAGCATTTCATGACATGTGCAAATTCTCTGGAATTCAGGTTTCAGTGCCCATAACTAAAGTGTTATTGGAACACAGCCATCCGTGGTCATTCACTCACCTATTTCTGTGGCTGCTTTCATATTCTGGTGGCAGATCTGAGTTGGGAGAGACACCCAACAGCCACAGAGTCTAAAATGTTTAGTTTCTGGCCCTTTATAAAGAAAATTAGATGACTCCTGATGTAATGGGAAGAGTGTGTGACAGAGCTAGGACTAAAAGTAACCACGTGTAACTGGGAGAAATACAACTAGTAGCAAATGTGTGGAGCTTAAAGGTGGAGGTCAGCTTGAGCCAGAGGAGCAGGGGATTCTGGAGGAAAAGGGCTCAAGTTTTCCACGGTGCAGCCTCTTCTCAAACTGACTCTGGAGGGCTGGGGAGTGTGCATCTTCCCCGGGAAGGGTTGGTGGAACGGAAAGACTTTCTCTCTCAGGCTGGTGGGACCAGTATTTGAGGGCAGCAGGTCCAGGTATGCACATACTCTAACATACACCTGCACCAGCATATAAAAGGTGACTTGTTTAATTGGCTAACCTAGAGGGGGTTGTTTAGATCAACGGGCTAAATACTTCAAGTTGTTTGTATTCACAATTACAAATCTCCTGACTACCTGGGTTTCATGACTTAGCCGAATGCATCTGGGATTGCATCAATCTTCTGGCTCAGGTCTTAAAAGCAGAGGGATAAAGCAAAAACTGTCAAAAGGTCTTAGGAAATGATAGCATCTCTGGGTTGCCGGCTCAGTGCACTGACCTCACCGTAACTGGGCCTGAATGTGGTCGTTTGTAAGTACAGCTCCTCACCTTTACAACTTGTTCTCTTTTGTTTTGAAGGCATCTGAACACAGATAACCAGGCATCCCCTGTCTGGCTCCCCAGTGCGGTGCTTTGGAAGTGAGGTGCCATGCCGTTGGCTTCATGAGGGCGCTGGAGCCCTGTAACAGGGCTCCCACCTCTAGTCTAAAAACAGGTGTGACAGTAGGGAGACTAATTTTGTTTTTAGGTTAATTAGTTTTTTTAAAAAGCCTTTATTTTTAAATAGGCAGTTTCAGGCTCAGAGTGACTGTTGGAGAATCACTAATGTGCGCCATCCCCAGAGCCAGTCGGCAGGATGAACCTGTCAGCCCTCTGTGCCGCCCTCAGAGAGTTAGATTCCCCACGGATCCCCTGTCCCCGCACATGCACATTCTCCCTGCTGGCAACATCCTGCATTTTAATGACTTTTCTAATGGAGGACACATGCACGTGATTCCAAGTAGAGAAGGTAGAGATGTGAAGCTGTCCAGAGACCTGAACCCCAGCCAATGGCCCCTTCCCCAGAGGCATGCTTATGTCCTGCATAGGGTTAACCTCGGGCTTTGACCTTCCAGCCTGGGAGTCCTTGGAGGTTTGGAGCTCATGGGCACCGGCGACTGTTCCATCAAGTTGCTGGTCAGAAGTTTGGTCGCTGAGCTCACCCCAACTTGTGGGATGGCTCTAAGACACCGTACCGAACTCCGCATGTTTCGTGGTTGTCCCACGTCATCAAGGTGTAGTTCAGTTTGTTAAGTCCACCTGTGCCAATATGGAGATACTTTAGAAAGGTTATCTTGATTCTGTTTCAAAGACACTGGAGCATTCCCTTAGTAAATTCTGGGAAGAGGAGGGTTAAGAAGCATCCTAACGTTACACGGAATAGCCTGTAGAAGTTGACGTTTCCTTCTCTCGTAGACTGGGAATGCTGGGTGAAGTCACAAGCATATCCATACTCTTCACTGAAAAGGAAGGTGTCCGTGTGGGGCTTGTGGAAGTCATCTCACCATCAAGTCACATTAATCTAGTGCTAAGAAACAAAGTCAGAAAGAAAGAAAGAAAGCGAAACACCCCTACCTGGCAGGGGCCTTTTTAAGACTGTTGCACACACTTACGCCTCTTTCGTTGAGAACTCCTCACGCAGCTGTGGTTTCGTGATTGACACGCTGTTTTGTGGGGTTTGGTCCACCAGTGGCTTGGGTCCTAGGGCCTGGCAGGCGGCTGCTCGGGGGGAGGTGCTGCGGAGAGGTAGAGGCCTCTGGATCTCAAATACGGGTTAACTCTCCATAAGGAAGGACTTTGACTATATAACAATATAGTGATTGATGACATGATGAGTCCTTTTTTAAAAAGTTTTCCAGTTGATGTACAATACTGTATTTTAGGTGCGCACCATAGTGATTAGACATTTAATATCCTTATGAAGTTGATCTGAATTGTTTTTAAAGATCAACTGCTAGCATGTTCCATAGTTACTCATCTTGTCCTGAATCTGCCCCAGAGTCTGTCCCTTGGGGAGCCTAGCCAGGTGGCACGTCACCACATCGCTTTTTGTCTGTTCTTGGTGTCTTATTGGGTATTTTTTGTTTGTTTGCAGTGATTAGTATTTCACAATGAAAAGAACCAGTATTTTCCCTAGAAGTGGGAGATTTCACATAACTGATCCTATATACTATCATGACAGCATAAATCACTTAAAAATACTTGATTTCTATTAAAATTGAACCATTTCTTTTTTTTTTTTAATCTCCTTATGTGCCAGTTTCATTTCTTTGATTCTTAAGTACTTTATAAATATTTTTCTTATCAACTAAATTGAAAGCTGCTTCAGGGAAAAGATCCCATATCGAATATATGAAGTATATTTTTATATCCCTCTACCCTGTTCTACTCATGAATCCTTAATAAGTTGTTGAATTGATATATTTGCAATAAGTCAGTAAATTTTTGGCCATAAAAACCTGTTCAAAGTGTTTGATGAACTGCAGGTCCAGGATATTAGAGTAGGCGTCTGTGGTCTTACCTCACAGAAGTATAATTGCCTCCACCAGAAAGCCCTTCTTCATTTTGCCTTTTACGTGTGTATCGTCTTACCTAAGAAAACTCAGGGATTTACAGATTGTATTTTAAAAGGAAATCAATAACCAAGGCTGCGCTGACTGACTTAATCAATTTTGTCGATGAGGGTAAGTTCTGAAAAAAACAGATATCTTCTTTCCTGAAGGTCTGTGAAAGTAGGGTAGATGATTATCATTCTGGAATGGTCTGAGTGTAGCTCTGCCTGGAGGAACCAGGCGAGCGAGCCTCACCGTTCATTAGAATTGGATTTCAGGACCCAGGCCCATGCTGGGTTAGTAGGTTTGGGGTGAGGCCCCTCCAGGCATCTGATTTTAATGGCTCACTAGAGGATTTGGATTTATTCATCTTTTTATCTTTTAGATTTGATATATGGGTACTTGTCAACTCTTTTGTGACCCATTAGAAGTTATATATAGAAATAACTTTTAAACAGTTCATAAATTTCACTTCCTACCCAATTTGTCAGTATTTCTTTTTCATTCCTTAGGAACCAGGGTTTTGCTCCTAGTCTAAATTGAAGAAATTGATGCCAAAGCATCTCTTTCTATTTGAGACTCCTTAATTGCAACATTTCAGGTTTATTTGAATATCTGCTGCTGCCTAGAGATCATTTGGGGCCTTCAGGGAATATAAGCTTTAGAAAATTTTAAGAAGAGCAACTGGGAGGACACAGAGCCCTGCACCCTCCTCTCCCATTATTTCCTTTGTGGGAAAACCGAGGGTGGCCCTGGAGAACCTTTGGGTCTCCTTCTGGTCTTTCCACAGGCCTTCCCACAGGCGGCACTGAATATACTTCAGGGCATTTTATTCATGATTGCCTCCTTGTGGATTATGAGCGTTCTACAGGAGGAACTGTGGTATTTGATTTAGAGAGTTGACTTTGCATTCATAAATCAGATAGAAAGAAGAGGACATTTTATTCAAACAGATTTCTAAAGTCCTGAATTTCTCTGACTAGATAGTAGACCTAACCTTATTCATGTTTCCAAGTTGATATTTTGTAGCCCACTCTATGGAAACAATGACTGTCAAATTAGTATAGGTAACCGCCCTCCCCCACCCCCCGCCGTGTGTGTTGTATGGCCACCTAGTTCAGAATTTGGAGACTGGCCTGCCCTCTTTTGTTTTGATGTGGTTTTAATTATATTGTGTTCTGCAGCAGTTTTTAAAGTAATGATGAAGCTGTTTTTAAAAGTGCAACCAAAAATGTTAGCCTGTAGCTTAGCTCAGGGTAAGAGGCTGGCAGTGCTGGCCAGCACACCCCACGTTGGAACATCTCCCTGCCATGACTAGCCCTGGTTTAAATCTATTTCTGAGGGTGTTTTACCCTGTATTTATCCTCCATCTAGAAAAGCATTTTTCTCTACAAGATAAAATCATGAGAAGGCATCCTGGGTGAATCAAACTTTCCAGAGAGATTGTTTAATTTTCCCTGTGTTAGTTTTGTGAGTTGAAGTTTCTCATCTCTTCTCCTCTTAAGTTGTGGGACGTGGAGGTAGAATGGGCAACTGAAAAAATTACATGGAGGTTTCGTTTTAGCTTAGAGTAAATGGAAATAGGTGGGGGGTAAAGTTACACAAACCTCTGCCCGGCTCCCCACACTGAATATTTGAGCCAGCTTCTCTTGGCTCAGCCTAGCAAAATTGTGGAAAGGGTTGGAATTGGATGGAGATTATATGAATAGTATTTTAAACTTCTTGATAGTCCACAGAAACAAGGTGGTCAAAAGAACCTAATTTTGGAGTTGGTGGTATTTTAGAAGCACTTCATATCTCGGTTTTTTAAAATGTTAAGTAATCTGTAACCTCCATAGAAGGCACTTACTCCTGTAGAAAAATTTTTTTCTACTTCAGGTTCCATCTGCCTTGATTTTGGATATAAGTTTTTGTTATAAACAGTCATTGTGGGTCACATTCTGAGGGATGGAATCACATTCAAAATCCTCAGCGAGGCCTCTCCCCACAGACACCACCCCCCAAAATCTGACCTCTCCTGGTCAGCCCTGAGTCCGCCTGCTGTGGCCTGTCTGCACTCCAGCCTCCCTCACATCCTGGATTGTTGTCTCCTGTTTTGGGGGTTTTGCTCTCACACTTAATGGGCCTTCTGCCTACCTGTAAATGCCTGCTGGTCCCCTCACCAGCCAGCCCCAAATAAAAACGTACAGCAGCTGACCAGCCCTGCGCACCCGAGTCCCAGCTCTGATCTCAGGTCTTGGCCTGCAGGGGCCGCCCAACACCCACCCTTCCAAGGGCCCCCTCTGACACTCTCCCACGGGCCCTGTGCTGATGGCACTAGGTTTGTGGCGGGGCGTGTGTCTGGTGTCAGTCTATCCCTGAGCCTGTGAGCGCCGGTCCTCTCTGCTGTTGTTACTGTGACCATATCTAGCACCACGCAATTAATTGCTCAGAGAGCATTTATGTGAATTGTCGACATTTCAGTAGTGTGTGGCTGACTGTCCCAGTAGCATGTGACAGTTACGGTTTTCTTCTTGACCTCACAGTAGAAAGGGAAGGTTTGTCGTGCAGGAGAGGGTAGATCTGGGAACATGGGGTTGCCCCGAGGTGAAATGGAAGTGTTCAGTGAGAATGGTCATGCAACAGCAGGTGTGAAGACAGGTGGACTGGACACTGCCATCCTCCTCAGCCAGCTCTTGGGACATTAGTGTCTGCCTGCCTGTACTAATTTACTACTATTCTGCAGGGTGGGCCTGTTTGAGAACGTGTGCTGGGGTCTTCCGTGAGCTCAGGGAGACAGCTGGAGCTCAGGGTTGCTGTGGCTCCTGTTGGCTCTACGGAACCAGAACTTTGCCTTTCTTTTTGTGAACAGTATAATCAGTTCTTCCTTGTCCTTCTAGAGACACGCTGTAAGCAAGATGAAACTCCCAAGACAACTCCTCACCCCTCACCACCCCCTACCCACACGTCACCACCTCACCCCTCGCCACCCCCTACCCACCCATCACCTCCTCACCCTTCGCCTTCCCCCGTGCCTGAGAGCCCTTCTGTACACAACTACAACGTGAGCGGCACCAACGGAACCTGTCTGCTGGCCAGGATGGGGCTGCAGCTGAACGTCACCTATGAGAAGGACAACATGGTAGGCTTAGTTCTGAGGAGCCCCCTTTCTCTTTGTGCACTGGTGTGTTGGTGCACTTGGACTATTGGTGCATGAGTGTCAGAATTCAGTGTTTGAACGGCTTTTAGAATATAAATCCGAGAGAGCAAGTCAGTGTGCCTGTGTCTCTAGTCAGCTTATTGACACACGGCCGTACACACCTTTACACACTGGCTGCTTTCTTCTGTAACAGCAGAATTGAGTCTTCATGGCGGAGACTGCTGTGTGGTCCACAAAAGCCTGAAATGTGTGGTGTTTGGCTCTGCAGAACAAGTTTGTTGTCCCCTGAGAGAATGTTAAATTTTGCTTAAACTCTTAACTACTCAAAAATTTAAATTTTTTTTTATCCTTTACCTTTGAAATATTATTTCTCCCTAATGATGGCAAAGTCTGTGGGGCTGTGACAAGTAACTTGCTTGTGATGAAGGTAAAGTGTGTCACCTTTAGGAGACATGGCGAGAGAGAGAAGGGTGCTGAGATCTACTGCACCTTTCCCTCGGATACATGCCATTCTGAAAACAATCAGAAGTAGCACTGAAATCTCCACTAGTGTAAACTTCCGGTGTTTAGGTTTTGGTTAAAATGACTATAGTCTTGAGGTTAGTGTTTTGAAGATCACTTGTATTTTTTTCAGGAACAGAGGACCCAGGGCATGAGATGGAATGGTAACTTGTTTGTTTTTCTTACATAGACTGTGACAGGACTATTCAATGTCAACCCAAACAAGACCCATGTCAGTGGGAGCTGCACACCCCAGCTGGTGACCCTGGAGCTCCACAGTGAGGGCATTAAGTCCCTGCTCTTCCACTTTGGAATGGTGAGGGTCCATGTTCCTTTGTCACTGGGGGGGCTTTGTTGTTAGACTTGCCTGGCACCTTAGCATGCAGTTTGCTGTGGTTTTCTTTATCCTGTGTTTTCTCACACACTTGGTGCCTCATACCTACGCTGAGCACACCACGTCCAAGCCAGAATGAAAATCGAACATAGGCCCTGGAGCCCAGAGCTCTGCCTTTGGAAGGAGGAGCCTTTTCTCTGCCTTCCCTTCTTTGTCAGTCTTTTTGGATCCTCAGATCCCCCTTCCCTTTTTTTGTTTACAAAGGGGCCTTCAGTTACTTGTTCATCAGATTGTAGGGAGTGCCTGCTGTGTGCCCAAGAGCTACTGTTAATACCAGTGCAGAGAGTCTCTTTGGCTGCAGAGAGGGATGGAGCAGCTTGAGGGTACTCAGTTCGGCCTCCCCTGCTCCTTTTCTGAGAAGCAGCATTGCAACGTTCTGTACCTTTTTTTCTTTATACCTGCCTGGGAAGAGCTGTACATAAATTAAAATAATAAGGGAAAAATAAAAATGAACCTCATAAGTATTTGTAATACACTATGCTGGTGAACTATTTAACAGTTGGGTTTCTCATAATAAAGCTTAATTTTCCTGAAGTTTAATATTTTAAAAAAGTTCAGTAAACTTTTGGGGAAAGTTTACCTTTTTGGAATAAGGCTCCTTCAAATTTTTAGAGAAAAAACTGATTCTGTAAAAAGACCTGGAAGGAACTAATCGAAAATAGTGTTCTTGAGATTCATACGATGGCTTTTACAGACAAGATACATTCAAAAGCTAGAAATAATGGGAAATAGAATTTATTACCCAAGTTTGCAGTGAACATGTCAATCTACTGACTGGTTAAGGATTATCATCTTCTCTTTAAGAATGCAAGTTCTAGCCGGTATTTCCTGCAAGGAATTGAGTTGGACATGAACCTTCCCGATACCAAAGGTAAGATCCACACAATTCACCTGCCCGTCCAGGTGTCTCGGAGCGCTAATTCTCACATGCCTTTTCAGGCCTCACCTTTAAGGCCAGCAACAACTCACTGAGAGAGCTTCAGGCCACGATGGGGAATTCCTACAAGTGTAACGCGGAGGAGCACATTTGGGTCACAAAGGCCTTTTCTGTCAACGTCTTTGAAGTGTGGGTCCAGGCTTTCCAGGTAGAAGGCAATAAGTTTGGATCTGGTGAGTACCATTGAAGGCAGCATTTCAGAGCCTGAGTGGGCTTCAACAGGCCTTGATTCTGTTTAGATAATTAAGAGCTTCGTTAACAGCTTGTGTTGCAGGGGGAGGTTGGGGACGAGGGTTCCCTTTTCCTGTCTAAGAGTTTTAGAGCAAATTCCTCTTCCTGTATTACCTTGCTTTCAAAATGCCCAGCACGTCTTAGGTGTAAGCACATCACCATTTGAGCAAACAAAGGATGTTGTTTTAAGAAATAGTGTGGCTCTTCCCCTGGTGAAATTGGGATATAAAAATGCTATCTGTCTGGTGACTTCAGTGTCCATCAGAGCCCAGGCGCCTTGGACTGCACACTGACCATGATCTCCATGGTCACGCAGAATGTCCCGCCCTTGTAGAAGCTTCCCCAAGTGATAGTTGATTGGAAGTGGAGCCACCCTCCCTGGTACAATCTTCCCCCACTGGGCAGTGGGGTGGGCAGAGGTGGCAAGGAGGGAGAGGCCTCTTTGTAAGGTACGCATGCCCACTCGTGCATGGTCTGTACCTGTTTGTCTCCTCAGTGGAAGAGTGTCAGCTGGATGAGAATAACATGCTGATCCCCATCGCCGTGGGTGGTGCCCTGGCAGGACTGGTCCTCGTCGTCCTCATCGCCTACCTCATCGGCAGGAAGAGGAGCCATGCCGGCTACCAGACGATTTAGCACAGCCACAGACCAGCGGGAGCTGCAGGGCCGCGGTTCATTTCCCTGAGCTTAGATTGATGTTGAGAGAGGCACACTTTATTGCAAACTGATTTTCAGATCTGCTTTATCCAATGTGAAGTTCATCTTGCAACATTTACTATGCACAAAAGAGTAACTATTGCAATGACGGTGTTAATTTTGCTAATGGGGTTAAATATTTTGCTAACTGGTTAAATGTTAATATTTACCAAAGTAGAACTTGGAGGCGGGGGGGAGGGTAAGAGTGCTTTTCTGAACGGGCACTGGCTCCACTATCATTTGGCTTTTTAAGGTTCTGGTGTTTGGTCTCTTTATTCTTGACTCAGATGTAAGTCTTACAAAGGGAGGTTCTCTGGTCTTAACACTTAAAACTGATGAAGGCTGGCTAACTGTTAGACTGACAGCATTAATGCATTAGTAGAGAAACTTTTAAAACAGGAGTACTTCTAAAGATGAAACTCTGGCAGGCTTAAATTAAGCTTTAGAAGCTGGGACAGGCCTGGCCGCACAGGCCGCAGAGCTGCACACACGTGAGCAAGTGTTGAAGCGGTTGGTCTTTCCATGCTCTGCCACTCAAGAGCTGGCACTTTTTTAAATAGAAAAAGGGGTGTTGTTTTTATTTACTTTTTTTTTTTTTTTTTTTTGTAAAGTGATTTTCAGTCTTCTGTTTGAGGTTCAGGGTGATCCTGTGTCTGGACTTGTGTACAATAATCAGTTTCACTCTCTGATTTATCCGCTTGCAGCTCAGGTGGGCTGTGCACTGAGGATCCCTTCATGTAACGCATTGCTGTAACAATGCTAATAAAATGTCTCTTTCTTTCTCTGTCTGGACCCTGTGCTTTTGTCAGCTCTTGGAACAAACAGTGGACAGTAGTGTGTAAGCTGGGGTGGTGTGGGTGCTGATAACAACTGCAAGCGGGGAAGCCCCCCAAGACACCCTGCTTCTAGGAGAGCAGATGTGTAGCCAGTCTGCTGGGTGGCGGAGTGAGAACAGGTTGTACCTTAAGGTCAGTCTTCAGTTGTGACAACACAGCCATGAGAATGAGGAGGGGTGGCCGGGCAGTCCGTGGGCTCCCTCGCCGCACTGTTCGGAGCCCTGTGGCCCTGGAGACAAGATTGCCCCTTTGAAGATGGACCCTTGTCTGGTCTTCCAGGACGGTGGCAGCAGGAGACGCTGCCGGCTGTGCTAGGAGCTTCCAGAGCAGGAGCTCGAGCCTGCAGTTGATTTGGTCTTGACTTTTTAAGCAAAGACATGCACCTTGATGGCTAAGGCTGAGGGCAGCTTCCCTGCCGGGTGACAGACTGGGGTATCCCTGGCGGCCACCTGCAGGCCTGCACCTCAGAATCAGCTGTCCACGTGGATAGGGGATTGGCTTCTGTAGAGCTTGAATCCCTGTGTGGTTCCTGACTCTGAAGCAGCCCGTTTTGAACCAAGCAGAGCAGAGTGGTGCTCAGGGTTCTCAGGCGGCAGCATGACTGTGAGCGCTAGTGCATGACAAGGTTCTTGGATTCTAGGTCACCCAGTCTGGACAGAGCAGACACTGGATGCCTGATAGAGCACTGAAAGAAACCAACGGTTGGCGGGGGTCAGGTCATCGTGGGTGTTTCAGGATTTAGAGAGCATTAAAAATAGCCAATGTAGGAGTGGCATGTGTCTGGAGGGGCAAAGGTTTCTGAGGACCCAGACAGCCCCATGGCTCCCTGAGGCTCCAGTGCCTGGGCAGGTGACGGGGTCGTGCTTCTATTTCAAGAAGGGGAGCCCGCGTCTCTGGGCGCTTTCCAGGGAGAGCCCCGCTGCTACGGCCCCAGCCATCCTGCCCAGGCTGGGCGTCTCGCAGTTCCAGGAGTGAAGGGCTTGGGACCGCACAGCTGGTGGTGAAGTGTCAGGCAGAACTAGGGACCCCGAGGCCCCTCTGGGCAGCTGTGCCGGCCCCAGGCTGGTGACCCACATGCTCGGTTCTTGGGGTGGCTCCCCAAGCTTTGGCAACTCACCCAAGCCATCGTTTCCTTCCAGTGACAAGGTCTAAAGTGTGTGTGGGTCCTGGTCCAGTTTTCATCAGTGGCCATGGGGGACGGGAGGGGCTCCGTGCTGGCCGCAGCTGGAGACAAGGACGGCCCAGGCTGCTGCGCTCGGACAAGGCTGCTGCCACCCAGGCCCCTTAACGGTGCCTCCCCATGGGGGTGAACCCCCGCACTGACAGGTGAGTGCAGTGTAAACATGGGGTGAGAATGGAGATGTAAGAAATCCAGGGGTGTTTTCAGGTCACACTGCTCAGACAAGCTGGGGGCCACCGGAGGACTGGGGCAGCAGGCCGGCCGTCCTGAACTGTCCCCGAGTGCCTCCCGTCTGCCCTGCTCCCGTAGGACTCCTGCCTGTTTCCGCCCTCTCCCATTGCCCCGCCCTGTCTCGCCCGTGTCCATGGCGGCCCCCTGCCTGTCAGTAAAGCTCCGCCTGCCCAGGCAGCGGGGCTTCTCAGAGGACTTGGGGGGTGGGGGTGGAGGTTCGCATCTGTCCTCAAGCCCGGAGAGGAACAGGCCCTCACTGGGGGCATCTTCTCCCTCCGGGGGTCCAGGAAGGGGCGGCTGCATCAAGTACTCATGGGCCCAAATCAGACTCCTCCATCTAACAACGTCAATTTTTTAAACATTTTAAAAAACTACTAAAGATTAGTCACCTGGTACATAGACAAACCACACGTGAACAGTAAATGCTCTACCACAGAAAGGAATAGACTAATAGTTGTTATTACTAACACTAACGAGTTTTCTGGTTCTAATTTCCAATCAGCTGGCAAGCTAAGCACAAACTTGTGTCGACATAGTTTATTAAATACAAACACATTTCACATTTTATATATTATTGTCTCAGGTAAAAATATCTTCAGAAATTCGACTTCATCAGTTGGAGAAAATGTGATTTTAAATTGCTCTTTTAAAAAATTCACGACTAAAGTGTAGAGACATCAAGTATTTACAGCACTAAAAAGGACAGTAGTAAAAATTGGTCAACTCCAGGAATGCGGCGTCGTGGTCAGCGCGGAGGGGAGGAGGTCCGCGTCAGCCCTGCGCCAGCAGCTTGGCCCTGCAGCTCTCGCGAAGCCTGGCGATGGTGGTCATGGACAAGCTGCCGGGCTCGGAGAATATTTTCTGGAAGAGAAATGGAATTGGTTTAAAAACCAAAACGTAAGTTTTTTACCATAACTGCCCCCTGTTAAAGGCGAGGCTGTGGCAGGTGGATATACGAAAAACCACAGGCCTGCTGCAGGTGGAAGGAGGAGAGCCCCCAGTCCAGAGGGGTACTTGATAAATTTCAGATATTAATCCTTACCAGAGGCATCGTTTGCAAATATATTTTCTGGCCATTCTGTTCACTTCCTTAGCTGCTCAGAACTTTTTGGAAGTTTGATGTAAACCCGTTTGTGTAGTTTTGCTTCTGTTGGGCCTGTGTTGTTTTTGTTTAGACCCGTTGTTGTATCCTGTGGCAGCTCAGGCTATTCATGAGCAGACGAGGTAAAGCATAAGAAGTCAGATTTGAGATGTGGAAGCAGGAAGAGACTCAGATTCACGTCTAGTAAGAGAGAAAACTACTCCCCAGTGAAGAGAAAAGACGGTGTCTCGGAGACAGAGGGAGAGGACAGAGCCCACAGGCAGGCAGACACAGCTCTGGGGCCCATGACGTGAGAACAAACATTTCAGGCTGGCAGATGCGGTATCACATCTTTTATGCGTAATGTAATAATCAGTTGTGCAGCTACTGCTGAGAAATTCGTGGTTATAAAATAGGCCAAGTGTAAAGGCTAGTCATTAAAAACTTTTTTAAAGAAACTGCATTTCAGAAATTTTTCCATAGTTTTGCAATACACAGCACTTAAGGTCAGGGTAGTGTTTACATAATAACTGTCCACATTCTTGGAAAGTGGAAAGTAGATCAAATCCACTGAAATGTGCCAGGATGTTAGAGTTAACTGTCCTCTTCGCACTAATGGTGCCCTGAGTTCCAATATGAGGTCACTGTTTGTATTCTCCAGGAACTTCTAGAGGTTCTTGCATAGGATTTCAGACGTAGGGATGCCAATTGCTGTGCTGATGTGCTCTTACCACAGAAATATACAACTTTGTAGAGATCACTGAGAAAAGACTCACTGTACGAGGGCTGTTTCCTTGCCCACTTCCCTTGAATGGCTACAGCTATCTGTGCAGACACACAGCATTTTTATTTTGATGTGAGTAGATTGGCGAATCCTGCCCAGTATCCTCATGATCCTCTGTGCTTCTCTCAAGCCCACCAAGCTCACGGGGCCTGGAGCCCCATTGGGCCATAACAGGCAAAGTCCCACCATGGACAGCCTGCCCACCGGCTATAGGCTCCTGGGAAGACAGTCACCTCGCTGCCTCTTGCACTGTGTAAATACTAGCACTTACTGAGCACTTCACCATACACAAGGTGCTCTGCTATGCACTGACATAAATTATATCAGAGCTAAACAACCTGGAAAGCATGTTGCTGAGTCAAAGAAGTCAACAGAAAGGTACACACGCATTCTTTGATTCCACTTACCATGAAATGTCCAGAAGAGGTAACTCCTTAGAGACAGAAAGTATATGATGGTTGCCTGGGGATGGGAAGGAGGTGGGTAAGGGCTTCCCCTTTCGGGGTGACAAAAATGTTCTGAAGCTAGATCATGGAACTAGACCTCTGATCTGTACATGTTAAAAGGGCAAATTTTGCCCTGACTGGTGTGGCTCAGTGGATTGGGCATTGTCCTACAAACTGAAAGGTCACCAGTTCAATTCCCAGTCAGGGCACATGCCTGGGTTGTGGGCCGGGTCTCCGGTCGGGGGCCTGAGAGAGGGAACTGATCGATGTCTCTCTCATACTCATATTTCTTTCTCCTTCCCTCCCCCCCTCTCTAAAAGCAAATCTTTTTTAAAAATGGGTGAATTTTATGGTCCGGGAATTCTATCTCATTAAAACAAACAAACAAAATGCCCTAAACAACCCTAGCATGGAGGACCTATTGTCATCTTCCTTTATAAATGAGGAACCTGAGTCTGAAAGGAATCAAAACCTAACAGCAGTCGTACCCGTAAGGGCGAGCTTTGATTCTGTCTGAGTTTAGTGTCTGGCTCCTACAGACTCCTCCACATACAATCGCAGACTCTGCTATATGGGGCCTGGAAGAAGCACAACCCTGCCATCTGCTGCTTGAATCCCCCTACAAAGTTCTCCCCGAGAGGCCACCAGCCAGCTTGCAGACTCCCCGGGCAGAGCAGTGGCCCCTCGGGAGGAGGCACTCTGTCATCATGGTGACCAGCTCCAGCTCTACCTGACAAGCCCCAAAAGAAGCAGTTACAGGTTTCTGACGTTTCTCATCCGTCACCACTTTCTCTTTATTGAGGCTGCTGGCAGGTGACCAGGGCTTGATACAAGCTGAAATGTCAGCGCCCACACCTTCCCACATGCCTGCCATTTAAAAGATGCATGTGGCCCTCGTGACCACTAGTCCCCACCATAGCGCCTAAACTGGAGGCTGTTTTCTGAGGCCAGGTGGAAGCAGAAGCCCCTTCCAGCTGGGGCCCCAGGAGGGAGGCCCCAGTTTTCTCTCCTCCCAGGAGCTGTCCA